CTAATAATAATTTTTCTAGTAATTTTATTCAGTATAACCAGAACAGAAAGACTAACTTCGAGTAGCTGGGCTTGTCTCAGCATTCCCGTGTTATACTTGAATAAATCTTCAGGAGAAAGGGAGAAGGTTGGGAATTAGAACCATATAAGAACTGTTAAGGCAGGGTGTATAGTTCTATTTCGTTCTATGTAATATCTTATAATTCTGTTTAGTTCTATTTAATATCTTATAATTTTATTTAGTTCTATTCAATATTTTATAGTTCTATTTAATATCTTTTTGTAAAGGTAGAGGCTGGGAGTTTAATTGATAAAATATTAGGGTGGCTTTATTTCAATTCATTTCTACTTTAAGAAATTTAAGGGTAGCTGCCTTCCCACAACTGGCTATAGACAGTGAAAGGCAGTAGAAGCTGAGATGTTGTGGGTTTATGCACTCAGCTTCGTACCCCTATTTGATTGATGATTTGTTTTTTTTCCATGACGGGTGACTAGATTGACATCGCATTTGGATTTTGTCTGATAGATGGGATATCCCCAATGCATTTGGGTGATATTACAGCAGACATTATTCATTATGACAATAAGTTGACAACCAGGACCGATAATGGTATTGCGATATTTAATTCATTATTAATTTATAGTGCTGATTTAATCGCCTATTGACAATTAATGTAATCAATAGTTTAAAAGGTATTTATTTATATATATATGATTGCAGTTTGCCCCTTAGGTTGAGACATTCCTCCTACCTACTATCCTCTATATGTACACTCCTGGTGTGTCTGATGTGGGTTGGAAGTGATCCAGCTAAGTAAGTCCTCACGTGTGTGTTAGCCAGGTATCCCTCCTCTTACCGCAGACTATATGCCCACTGCTGGATGTAAGTTCTTGGTGGATCTGGTGTTGGGTTGCAGCTGGATGCAGCATGTTTTCTCGCTTGTGTACAGCTGGATGTCCTCGTACTACTGCAGACAGGAAGGACCATACCCATTGCTGTCAGGTTTTGTACCAGAGATGTCATCCTGCCGGGGCTTTTCACCTTCCTACCGTCTGCTGGGTGTTGGTTCCCGGCAGATCTGATGTTGAGTGTGTTGGAAATGTGCACAAGTGGAGACGGATTTGGCACAGACACTCGTCTTCCCTACCACTTCCCATTTTGAGGAGAAGAAGTAGGTGATCCTCTACCTACTACGGATCTGATGTACCATTCTAGATACTGCCTGGTGTTGGATGAGGTCAAAATAACACTACGATCTGTCACGCCCTAGCTACTCAACACCCAGGAGTCTCATTCATCAATCATACATATTCTGGGATTCCTTCATGTTTTTCCACCTATGTTTGCGACACTGTCATAAAAAAAGTAAGAAGTATACTTGGATCAGATGTGGTGCAATCTTCTTGTAAGTTGTGATGTTTTCTCTTTTGTTTCCACACCTCCTGCTCTTTATTGGGTGCTTCCTAAATGGGATTTTTTTTTATTGGCCCTCCACCAGTTCATTGTGGGATTTTAGCTATTCTGTGAGAGGAGGTAAGATATTGTATTGGAAGTTAGCATTTTCCTACACTGAAAATGTATTTCCAATAGATACTTACTTTTGCTCACATTTCCCATCCAGCCTCCATACTTCCGATGATATTTGATGTAGGTCTTCTGACCAATCTCAAAGTGATCAATGAGTGCAGATGTGAAGGTGCTGATTATGATAGGAGTGGTGTTGCACTCCTATTGGTGGAGAGCTGCTGCATGATTATTTATATGTGAATATGCAGGAGCGTGAAGTGGAAGGCTAATGGAGTGCATTGAAAATTTGTGCCAACAGAGGGCAGTTCTAGCCAAGCAAGGATATTTTTTGAGAGGAGGTAAGTATCTATTAGAAATACACTTGCAGTGTAGGGAAATGCTAAATTTTACTTCAGTAAGCTTTCCAATGTTTATCTTTAAATTAAAGAAGTAAAGCTTCATTGTATTGCATCTGAAGTATGTATCTCTGTAAGATTTAGTGATTTAGATAATGATTATCTGTTTGTACTAGATATTAACTAATATAATGTTTTCAGCAAATGTTTTTAAAATTTATTGTATTTACACATATGAACTCGTTTTTCTGAAATAATGTCTTAGAGAAAACCAGGTCTACTGACCCTCCAGTGGGTGCTTGAAATGATTGATAAAGAGCTTCGACAAGCTCAACTCAATGGCCATGAATACTATCTGATAGATGTTGTACCTAACCTTAGAGCTATGTTGCAGGTTCGGACATTTATTAAGGATTGTGAACAAGAAATGGAAGATTTTGAAAAAGAAGTAAGATGTTGTAATTTCTTTTATGTTAATATCAACATTGCACAACCTGTGAATTGAGGTAGTTTTAAGATTTCCTGCTTTAAGTTTTATAAATATTATCAAAACACTTTGAAGTGCTTATGTAAATAAAATTATGTTTTGAAATTTCTTTTAACTTGTAAGTCATTTCTGACATGTCCTAACGTATTAAAGTTTTATTTCTATTGAACATTTGTTTACTATATAAAAAAAAAAAAATTCATTTGACATGAAAATGGAGTTGTAAAATTCTAACAGTTTTAGAGTGAAGTATCCTCCAGTAATATGCATATTATATTTAATATTGTATGTATTCACTATACATGTTTGTGCAGGCATCATAGCAGTTTATTAATACAATAGTAGAATGGTTAAAATAATGTTTAAAAAAAAGGCAAAAGATCTTTCATTTGTAACATACTAGTTTTTCCCTCGTTAATGTACCATTTTATGTTTATTTATGTATTTTGTGTTTGTTATCATACTGAAAGAAATGTGTTATAATTATAGTCTGAATCATTCTATAAACCTTCTGAATGTTTCAGTTATTAGATTAGAGTACGTTAAGAACAAAAGCAAAATAAAAAATATGTCAGTTTGCATAAAACTTGGATTGGAATTTGTAGCTTATATACTCTTTCTTTTTATTTTTGGAAGTGGCCTTGTCTATTTGCATTAAACCTAGCTGTTCCAGAAAAAAAAGTTGTTGAAAATGTAGCCTCTGCTGTGGCAAAATCTCCTGATCATCTTCAGAAAAGAGGATTAAGTGATGAAAAGGATGTTATGAAAACAAAGGTAAAATATTGTTCAAATATGTAATTTTTCTAGAATTGTGTTCTTGAGATCATTATACTTTACATCATCAGAATGATTCACAAAAGATTTCATTTGAATGGATATTATATACAAGTGTTGTTAGTGTTGTTAGGAACTACTGGGCAGGGGTATTATTACTATTGAGATAGGGGTGTAACCTATACTATAGAGTTGGAGGGGGGTCTTTTCCCAAAAATATGGATTTTATTTCTTTTACACAAATAATGTAAGTGATTTACATGAAAGTCAAGTGTTTATTTAAAAATAAACAGAGGATATTGGACATTTTAGATTTTTTAGAAGATTAAGAAGATCATCTGATCCCCCAGCCATGTATACAGGGTGTAGGTTAATGATGTAACACAACTACTTTACTACTATTTACCACCTGAGTGAGATCATCATTTACAAGAAAAAGAACCAAAGTTTGAACATTGCCATCAAATGAATGAATGAAGCTTTATGTGTTTAATATATCGCAGTGTATTTGGTTTAAGTTTTAATTTCATATTACTAGTGAAAGACGATAGTTCATAAGTGTTTTTTTTTTCCTGTTTTTCTATCTATAGCGTCGTTATGATGAATACAGCTATAGTGTGAAGGATTTTCTGAAATATTTCAACACCACTGACAGATTAGTCACTGTTGATGTGTCTTGTGGTATAGCTGACTTGATTTGGTCCAAAGTTTCTGAGTTTTTCTTTTCTGTTGGCTTTATACCTAAGATGGCCATCAACACAGTGATTGTGTTTGCATTCAGTAAGTCTTAATTATGGAATTTTAAAAATGATTTACAAATTGATTTTAACTAATCTTTAAATAATACTCAGCAAAGCTCAAAAATATATAGCCAGGTATCTGCAAAATGACATTATTTTTTAAGTGAATCAATAAAAACTGCATGAAAATTATAAAGCTTTAAGTGGATAATTTATGTTTAGTTATAGTTGTTTCATGTATAGAATTACAAATTGGAAAACTTATTTTCTTACATTTTTGAACCATTTTAATTTAAGATGGTGAAGTAATGGATTTGGATACTCTTTGTTGATAAGGTAACTTGATTTTCATTGTTCAGTGTTTCACTTTAAAAGTTTTGTAAGTTTACAGCTAGTATAGTTCTAATTGAAAGTAAATTGTTAGTTAATGTGGATATAAAGCAAGCATTACTTTTATAAAGGAATATTGTGTAATCAAAAAACATTCAAATAACTCACCATTTGAAAAGAGGAAACATTGATCTCAAAAACAAATTATGGTTTTTCACTATGGTTACTTACTTTCACGTATCTTAAGCTATTTAAGCTTATTGTACTATTGAGATACTGATATTGATGTAGATCAGCGTAATGAGTTTTGAGAATGATTACTTATTTAAAAGAGCATGTATTTTTTAAAGGTATTATTTCACTTATTGTATACAAAATAGATATTACTGAATATCATGTGACATATCTTACAGCATATAGTTCTAATTTGGAATATAAGTATATCATGCTTTTTCTACCTTTTTATTTTAGTGTAGTATTTTTCAGAATTGCTACTCACCTCTCTGCAAATCAAACAGTTAATACCTTGCACACTGCTGTGAAGATTTTTTTTGCACATGCTACAAGCCTTGAATGAAGCTCCTAACTCTGCGTGTGATAACATGTACTGTGACAGCATATGATTTAATCATCATTAGACTATAGCTCTCCACCAGAAGGAGGCGAAACATCCTCCATTTGCAGTAATCCTCATGAGCACTATCATTCGAAATAAGTTTCATTCTTTTCTTGGCATTGGTTGTCTTCAGAGTGTTTGTTTCTTAAGGATTACCAGAATCTTTTAAACTTTCATTACCATTCATAGTATAATTTTTCATTCCTTAATATTCTTGATTATGTGAAAGAACAATACCAAATTTTAAACATTTCAGTTAGATCGTTTGTTCAAGTTATCTTCACTTTGATTTTCATTTAATCAAATTTGTAATCTTGAAGCATATGTCCCATTATCTGTTCCCATTGTTTAACTCAGTGTGTGGGTTCTAGCCAGTACTGTTACTTCTCAGGAAAAAAAGAAAAATGAATTATACTTGTCTTAAGACATTATTATTAGGTCTATTATATTTTTTAATTCTGCTTTCTTTGGCCTGGCATGGCCAGGTGGTTAGGGCGCTCGACTTGCAGT